GGAGTCATTAGGCCTTGTTCCCAGCCATATGTAGGTCAGAGGAGGACAAGCTGCACCTTCAGCTCAGCGGCCGAGATACGGCTTACATGCGTCACGCGGCAGGACGCAGCGTTTTATGGTGGAACGCTATTCCGGGATCATTGGTATGGGATAGCGCGGGGAACGTCCCGACATTTCCATAGATCTCCTCTCCACGTATCAGATTCTGGAATTTGTCAGATCTCATCATTGGTGTGGTGACAAGGAATTATTATTAAGAACGTCATCGTAATCCTCAGGATTCTCAGCACTAAGGCCCCGTTCACACTGAGCGATTTATCGCGCGGTAATTCCCGCGATATCGCGGCTATTTACCGCGCGATATCGCTCTCCAATGCTTGGCAATGGGGCAAAGGGTCCTGCTGTCGCGGGTCGTGCGTCGCTACAGCAGGACCCTTTTTGGAGCGGATTTTGCCACGATTCCAGCTTGCTCAATGAAAGCATTTGCACGATATCGCGCAAAATTCAAATCGCACAACAAACGCGCGATTTGCGAATCGCGCAGTGTGAATGGGGCCTAAGAGGCCAACAGCGGAATCACATCCATGTCGGCATAGCGGGAAATTTTTACCAGGCTGTGAATAATGTGACTTCTCATCCTGAGTTGGCAGTTTAACACAGAAATGAAGCCAATACGTTTTAGGTTTGGACAGAGTAAGGGAGGGTCATAGCTTTTTTTTTTGCCAGTGGGGAGATTTTCCTTCAGGAAGTGAGGGGAAATCCCTTCTCCCCCCCCCCAAAGAGATGTCAGCAGAACTAGTGTCCCCATTTGAAGATTTCCCATCTGTTCCTGTTCTGGTGACAACAGTCACCAGGACAAATAGAGAAGATGACTCTCCCTAATGGGGACACAGACAGCAATAAAACTAGAAGGGGTTCTAATCCCTCTCCACTCTATCCAAAACATACACAAAAAAAAGTTTGGGCTTCAGTTGCACTTGGTCAGGCACAGCCAGGCGCATAGTATTTTTTAGGTGACGGTCACCTTTCCTTTTGTCCAGGTGACCATTATCACAGTACGTGAAAGAGAATCCCAACTTTTGGGTTGTCACCAGAACAGGAATAGATGGGAAAGCTTCCAATGGTGACACTAGTTCTTGTGACCAAGCAGGCCACCATGGATTTCCCTGACTTTGGAGGGATTTCCTCTCACTTCCTTTTGTGGCTATCAGGCAGGAAGTGAAGGGAAATCTCCTCAATGAGACACAGATGGCAAAAAGAAGACAGAGGTTATAACCAGTGCTGTAACTATAGCCATAGCAGCCCAGGCGGCTATTATGGGGCCTGGGGGTGGAAGGGGGCCCCAGTAAGGCAAATTAAACACAGACCATGTGAAGATAATACAGCACGGTATCGTTAAGGGTTGGAGTGGTTGCAGTTGACTCTAATCCCCTGTACCCTCCCTTACACTGGAAATCACGGATGTAAGGGTTCAGCATGACAGTCAGGCACCTAGCATTGCCAAGAGGAGATGAGCTGTGTCAGTCCCATATTTGACCCATGACAGAGGTCAGACATGGCGGCACTCCCACCCTCACCCAGTAGAGAGCGCTGTCCGGGCTCCGGGGATGCTGGAGAGGTCGGCGGCTCTAATATTGGGGTTTCCTCTGTTTTCCAGTGAGCCGATTGGCTGTGTGCTGGGCACAAGATGGCGTCCTGTGCTGTGAGGTCCTTGAAGATCATCGCTCCTTCCAAAATCTGAAAACCCAAAACTGACACCAAATCAGTCATAATATGCAGCCCTCAGCTGGGAATTCTGGGTATTTTGCTGCTTTCCAGTTGTGAGACTCATTATGTGTGACGCCTTTTTTTTCTCCATTTTGTGTTTTGCAGAGACCGGTCGCCGTTCATCTTCACCAGCGAGATGGAAAACTTCATCACGGAGGGGGGGAGGAGCCCACAGCGCGCACAGGAGTTTGTGGATCTCTGCTGCTGTGCGTACAACATCATCCGCAGACACAGCGCATTACTGATCACCGCCCTGGAGCTGGTGAGCCATCTGTACACACTACAATGTGTTCCACAATAAGAACTGTCAGTGACACATCTCCAGGCCGCCCTCTGCTTATCTGTGGTCAGCCCGCCCTCGAAAAGACTGATGTGTAGCCCCTCCCCCCTGACCCATCTGACTGTATCATTGAGATAAGGTAAAGGTGCACACAAGTGCGGTCAGATCCCCAGACTCCTATTTGCTTGACCTCTCCTTCTATGCTTTGCCTTGATTTTGTCATTTGTGTTTACAGAGCTCAGTAGCCCAAACTTAGATTATAGCGATAGCTGCATGAGTCAGAGGACAGGCATAGGTCCAATGCCCCTCTCCCGCTACTACTGTGCTCTGTCTATAGAAAGACCACCCCTAAGCAAAAAGGGTTGCTATGACTTCCTATCCTTGTGTCTCCCCCTAGATGCTGCAGGCCGGCCTGCCCGAATTATCTGGTGTTCATGACCTGAAGTACGTCCATGACAACCTGCGGCCTTACGACTCCGATCTACAAGCAACAAGTTATTTTACAAGGTAAGGACGACGTGGATTTCCTTCATTGACCTATAGGAAATATAGAGACCTCTATGGAGGCATCCAGCCACTTTGTGATTGCAAGAACCCAGGATCCAGGCATGTGGTGATGGAACTCAGGATCCAGGTACTTGGTAATGGGACCTGGGATTGAGGTATTTAGTTATCTGGGTATGGGGTGATAGGACCCGGGAATGTGGTGATATGACCCCGGGATCCGGGTATGTGGTGATAGGACCCGGGATCCGGGTATGTGGTGATAGGCACCCGCGATCCAGGTATGTGGTGATGAGACCCGGGATCCAGGTATATGGTGATGGGACCCGGGATCCAGGTATATGGTGATGGGACCCAAGATCCAGGTATGTGGTGATAGGACTCGGGATCCGGGTATGTGGTGATAGGCCCCCGGGATCCAGGTATGTGGTGATAGGACCCAGGATCCGGGTATGTGGTGATAGGACCCGGGATCTGGGTATGTGGTGATAGGACCCGGGATCTGGGTATGTGGTGATAGGACCCCGGGATCCAGGATTTGGTGATAGAGACCCAGGATTCAGGTA